GAGGGTGGCCCACGTCTCTGCGGGGCAGCGGGATCAGCCCTTCTGGCTGGTGTAGACATGGGTTAAATCACCTTCTGCTTTCCTGAGCTGGAGACGGGGGATTATCCGTCCCAGGACAGAAAGCTGCTGCTGTCTCGGCTCCCTCTTTAGCCAGCATTTTAGCAAAATCCATGCTTAATTTGATTTGAATCTCAGCTTCATCTTTCAGCAGGCCAGCAGGATGAAAGCCTGGAAGGCTGCCTAGGTTTGAAGCGATAGGCTAGATCTCCTCGTGGGGCCAATTTGGGCCCTGTTTGTGGAGAGATTTGATCTCCCCTGGATGTGTGCGTGGCCCCCCTCATTGTTAGTGCCACCAGCTTCCCCTCCACTGGGACAATAGTGCCTTGAGTCCTCCCCAGTAATCTCCCCCCTTATCTCCCTTCTCTTCCGCAGCCTGTATCCCTGGCAGGCAGGGAGGGTGGGAGGTTTGGGAAGAGCCAATTATGCAGATGGAGGAGCGAGAGGTGCTGTGTCAACCGATGTCCCTTTTCAGAGAGCCGGGGCGAGAAGAGGAGTGCAGTGCAGGAGCGTGTCTGAGCTCTTCCCTGCTCACTGTCCCCTCTGTGCTCCCGTAAGCCCCACCAAGAGGTCCTGTGGTGAGGTCGAGGATGTTCAGAGATACAGGCAGCTGTGGGAGTTGTTTCCCAATGTTGTGTTCTCCGGCTCGCTCGTGCTGGCGTTGCCCCCAGGTCGGGGGGTACCTCTCACTGCTGGGTCTGAGGGCATGGGGCATAACAAGGTGGTCACTGTTCAGGTTGCTAGAAGTGTCCACAGTGGGGTCTACGGGTGGGCTGGCTGACCCAATGCTCTGGCTGAAGTGAAACCATGGGGGAAACGAGATGGGGTCCATTCCTTGGAAACCCATCTCTCCATCTTTATTTTGGTGTGCCCCAAGCCGGAACCCAAAGACATAAGGCTCCAAAACTTGCTTGGCTTGAAGCGTTGTGGTCATGGGCCAAGGCAGCTGGCTGCTGCTGTGGGTGGTACTGGTGGCCCTGTGGGGTGGGAGGGTCCCAGCGAGGGAGGCAGCATTTTTATGCTGCCCCAAAAGCACAACGGTAATTAACAGCCCAGCTTTGGATTTTGTGTAAGCCGTGGGGGTCTGCTGGGACCATTCCTTCTGCTGGTGAGGAAGTTAATGAGGAGCCCCTTGCTTTGTCCGCTGCCTGCCGATAGAAGAAGGCACTGAGGAGGCAAGAAAAATAGATGGAGAAAAGCAAAAGGGTGGGGAGGAACCAGTTGTTGTGGAGCCAGCTGTGACGGGACAGTGTTTTGTAAATCAAAGCGCTCTCCTAAAAAGAAAACTTAAGCCCAGCAGATCTACTCAGTGGTCAAGCTCTGGCTTTTTTTTTTTCTTCTTTTCTGGAAGCTACGTGATAATTGTTAAACGCAGGGGATGCTTTGTAAAATAGAATTCAAGGGAAGGGGGGAGGATGGAGCAGGATTTAAATTTAAAATTGGATGAGGGTACAAAGCCCCTTAGTTCCCTATTTCTGCTTAATGCAACTGGAGCTGGGCTTGACAAGATGCTGACCAGAGCTTGTGGTAAATGTTTTACGGTACCGTGTATCAGCCAGATCAATTCTACTACGCTTGAGGGAGTGCAGATAAAATGGCTTAAAGATTCCCCAGCTGAAAGCGATAGTATCATCATTTATGCTGGAGAAGACAGATTTAGTCACCTGACATTTATTTGGCCATGGTGTACTTTGCGGATTTCACACCCGGGGACGATAGCCAACCTGATGATGTCAGATGTGAGCTGCAAGGAGGGGGGGGAAAAAAAAAAAAAAATCACACAAAAAGCTAGTGCTGTTCCTCTTTTGTTGACCAGATGAGTTTTTCTATGTGTCTGTTTTGGTTGTTTTACTCCACAGATCTCTTTAAAGGAAAGTGCCTTACAAGAGCGGGACGTTACTGAAACAGCATGTCCGGCATGGGCTTTGTGGTACGAAGATGGCAGCAGAAATATCTCTGTTAACTTAGGTTGTTTCTTTTGGTCCTGTTTTGCCTGTAGGTCACTCAGACTCCAAACTGAGCGAACATGAGCGCACTTGATTTGACTTCCATCCTCGATTTCCTGGAAACAGCCAACTTGACGGAGATCAACTGGACGTGCAACAACGGTGACTGCATCACGGTTGATGCGACAACATGCCCTGGCACGCTCAACAAAAGTGCCCTGCTATACACCCTGTCCTTCTTCTACATTTTCATCTTTGTCATAGGGCTGGTGGCCAACTCGGTCGTGGTGTGGGTCAACCTCCAAGCCAAAATGACTGGCTATGAAACCCACCTCTACATCTTTAATTTGGCTATTGCCGATCTGTGCGTTGTCATCACCCTTCCAGTGTGGGTCGTCTCCCTCATCCAGCATAACCAGTGGTACATGGGAGAAATCACGTGCAAGATAACTCACCTGATATTTTCCATCAACCTGTACAGCAGCATCTTCTTCCTGGCTTGCATGAGTGTGGACCGCTACCTCTCAGTTGCCTATTTCACCAATTCCAGCAATCGCAAGAAGAAGATAATCCGTCGCTGCATCTGCATCTTAGTGTGGCTTCTTGCCTTCTCTGCATCTCTCCCAGACACTTATTATCTCAAGACTGTCGCTTCCAACAACGAAACCTACTGCCGTCCCGTCTATCCGGAGGAGAGCTTCAAAGAGTGGTTAATTGGCATGGAGCTCATCTCCGTCGTGCTGGGCTTTCTGATCCCTTTTCCCATCATTGCTCTCTTTTATTTCCTCCTTGCGAAGACCATCTCCGCCTCCAGTGACCAAGAGAGGAAGAGCAATGGGAAGATCATTTTCTCCTACGTTGTCGTGTTTCTCGTCTGCTGGCTACCCTACCACGTAGCTGTCCTGCTTGACATCTTCTATAGTCTTCATTTCATACCTTTCAGTTGTCAGATGGAGAACTTCTTATATGCCACTCTTCACATCACTCAGTGTTTCTCTTTAGTCCATTGCTGCGTCAACCCCGTCCTGTACAGCTTCATTAACCGCAACTACAGATACGAGCTCATGAAAGCCTTTATTTTCAAGTACTCTGCCAAAACTGGTCTCACTAAACTTATCGATGCTTCCAGAGTGTCGGAAGCAGAATACTCTGCTCTGGAGCAAAATGCCAAATGACTGCAACCCCATAAAGAAACCTCCTTGACTCTCTGACCTTTGTTTTTTTTGTGTGATGGTGTATGTTTGGTCGGTTGGTGGTTGTTTTTTTTTTTTTAACCTCCCCTTTTCCTGTGCTTGTTATGAACGGGGCATGAATTCCAGCCTACGAAAAAGAAATAGCAAAGTGTAATTTAAAAGTAGAATCAGATGCAAAATGGAAGTGGTACCAAAATTAAGCCTTTCGTCGGTGTGTTTTGTTTGATCTCCTCCTAGCCCAGTCTGGACTTCTTGACAACGCTATGCAAATGGAAATGACTTTCTAGCAGACAAAGCCATTGTGTACCATAGATAACATGCATTTCCAGGATAAGCTTTTTCTTCCACATGTAGATTCCCTCTTGTCTCCTTGTATATGTTATATATATAGTGTGTTGTATTTAAAAGCTCGAGACTTTATTTTCTGGCTCTTGGTGTACTTTATACAATTGTATTTGAAAGTTAAATATATTTTTATCATGTATTTGAAGTATATTGCTGATGAGTGTATCCAGAGTGCTGTAGTCTGAGTGTTAGATTGCCATTTGGTTTCAACTATCGTAGGTAAGAGGATGCCAATAAATAGCAAAATGGAAATGAATCTCTTAGGTGCATCCTCTCTGGCTGGCACACTTTATTGACCATAGCTTCATGTGGTGGTGATACCTACGTGTCTGGAGCATGAAATGTATGTAGTGTAATATAGTTACCATCATGTTAAAATTAACAGTATTGTAAGAGTTGTTAACTCCTACGCCCGTACTTCACAAAACTGTATCCTTATGCACAGAATGAATGATCTTGCTTCTGAGAGTTGTCTCTATTTGTAAGTTATTTTTGTAAAATAAAGATCTGGGGGGGGAAAAAAAAATACTCTATGACTACCAGTTGTTTTACTTGCGATCCTAC